AAATTTCTATCTTACTGTTTATAATATTTTCTAGGTAACCCGTACGTGCACAAGCTTGTGTGTAATGTGTAAGTATGAAATATGGTTAATGTCTGAAGTATCGAAACAACTTTGTCAACCTTGTATAGACTGCTGCTTTGTACTAGGCATACAAAAGATTCATTTATATTAATGATAGTTAGTGGCGAATAGGGGATAAAAGATGGGTCTTTTGTTCTATTTAGAGTTTGTCAGCTGGATATACCAACCGGCTAGTATGCATCCCCCTGCATGGCTCAGATTGCAATTATGTCATATTTTAGTCTGTCCACCTAGAGCCTATTACCAGTCTGAACCTACTTTAGCTAATCATGTGCCACAACGAGGCAGATGGTGACTAGGCATACATGATACATATCTCAACCAGCCATTTGAGTCCATAAAGGTTCACGATTGTATCACCTGACTTCCATCTTACTCCTAAAACTCTAGACCTAACTTCTATGTTAATGGTGGGGTGACATCATGACATATGGTCTTTACTATGAAGGCAAGGGTGGTCGACCATATGAAGTCTTCTCACATTATCTGATTTTTATGACCATAGCAATACAGTACACCCGACCCTCAACAGACAATCGCATTTAGCTACGGAACCATTTTGGTGTCAGTAACGAGACATATCTGTTTATAAGGTGTATACATATTACAAAAAGGTGAAAATGTGGCAGAATTAAGTAGAATAATTTCCTTCTTAGAAACATTTCGTTTCTTCAATAGTCCTGTTTAATAGCTATGCAAATTGGAAGGCCTACAGTTCACCTGGTTAATATTGTCGCGAAAAAATATGGATAATCAACTGAGGTTAAACGATGATGTTTCCTACTTTTCCGTCACCTTTTCAACCGTTCACAGTATGACTTATTTGACTACCAAAGAGGTATTTTATTTATATAATGCCACTTTGAGATGTGAGGTGGTATGTTAATAGCTGAGAATAAACATTATTTCGTGAAAACATCTAAATACATGAACTAACTAATATTCATTGGGAATCTCAATGGGAATATTGTCGATTGATTGTTGATTCAATAACTTATGATAATTTGACAGGTGAAAGAATGGTTTCCTTGAATTTCATCCCCGTCTTCACGAAGGCCCCCACTGAAACAGAAATCATCTGCTTCTTATGTGTACTCATTCAACCACATAGCATACATGTTGCTGTTTCAATTCACTACCTAAAAGAGCTTCACCTTCGATTTACCTTTAATATACACTTCAGATTTAATGATAGAATCTACTGACAGGTAGGACCTCTTCTAGCTGACTACTTCAATGACAAACCTAAAAACAGCAACTTATCATCAACAATCAATGAACTTCATGTCAACAAAGATACATGGATGATACGTTTATAATTTGTGAGGAAAATATGAATCTTGCAAACCTGCTTCATACCTTCGACAACACCCACCCTTCAAATAAATCTACTCTAGAATCAGAATTCAACTTAACCTTCTATTTTCTTGATGTTCAACTCCAAAAAAAAGATGATAATTCACTTCGTAGATCAATCTACAGAAAATCTACGTGGAAAGGACAATTTGTTGATTTTTAAGATTCAGTACCTCTATGTAGGAAAAGAAATCTTATCTATTCACTTTCCTCGAACCTCGCCTCGTTAACTAGTTCACTAGTTACTAACCGGTCCTAAGCCCGGGTAAAGAGGGAAGGTTGGGTATAGGGCTAGCAACCCTACCCCTTAAAACCAATACAGCACTACGCATCATCATAGAACAGACTATAGAATGGCAGTAAACTCTCTCTGTACCTCAACTTCATCGACTTTGAAAACGTCTTCGATAGCGTAGACCGACAAGTCATTTCCAAACTGCTCCAACACTACGGAATACCACATACCTTTATCAACCTCATTCAACAACTATATGAACACACCACATGTCAAGTAATTCACAATGGAAAGCTCAGTGATGTCTTTGCAGTGAAGTGAATACAGGAAGAAGTAAGACAAGGCTGTCTACTATCACCCATGATATTCGTGATGTGGTCGATTGGATCAAGCAACAAAATGTGAGAAGCAAGAAGAGAGGGATACGCTGGACCGATGAAAAGATCCTAGAAGATTTGGATTTCGCACATGATGACTTGTGTCTAATGTCTTGTGACACAAACTTGAAGATCTACACACAAAATCTAACAAGTTAACAGAAGAGGCAGGGTAGGGTAGGGTAGGGTAGGGCAGGACAGCGAAGACGGGACTTCAAGTGAACATGGAGAAGACAGAGGTGATGGAGATACCCAACCAACACCACCACCACCACCACCACCACCACCAACAACAACAACAACAACAACAAGCTCCAATCAACATGAATGGGAGAAACTTAAACGAAGTAGCCTCTTTCACCTACACCTACACCTACACCTACACCTATCTACCTAGGCAGCATCATTTCAACTACATGTGGTGGTGGCGACAAACACGAGGATGTGAAAGCCAGTCAGGATCGGAAAAGCCAGCAAGACAGGCAGACGTTGATTAACCTGAAACCAGTGTGGACATCTTCTGCACTGCACTCAGCACAAGGCGTGAACAACATCCGGATTTTCAACACTGACACTAATGTCAAGTCAGTGATTCTATGTGATGGTTGAGAGACTTGGTGTGTTACGGAAGGCGATTTCCAACAAACTACATATATATTGATGAAGACGTGCCACCTAGGCTGACTCATTACTGAAGATCAGATGAGATGAGATGAGATGAGATGGCGAGAAATAATAAGCGAAGAGGAGGTGTGGTTGTGGACGAACCGAGGAAGCGAGAAGCTATCGGTGAAGAAATATGCAGTGGAAGGAAGTGGAGGTGTATTAGATTGTGCATAGACTGAGAAGGGTGACTGGGGACATCACACGCGAGGTGAGGCTGTCGAGTGGAAGGCAAATGGGAAACGATGAGTTGGTTGTCGGAGGTGATGATGACATGGATGAGATGATGGGAGGAGGAAATGAGAGCTTGTGGGCAATGGTGTTGGAGGCAGGTTGGAAAGATTGTAGAGAATTGAGTGTACTGGAGACGTGCTACTGAAGGTTTATGTTTTAGTAGGAACCCAAGGGACAAATAATAATAATTCACTTTCCTCGTAGATCAGGAAAATGTGTACTGAGGACACTGTTGACAGAGAACTGGAAATACTACAACGAACTCTAGCGGAAAGCAGTTTGCCGCTCAGTTTCATAGAGAAGAATTTAAGGCTAAAGAACTCTACTTAACGAACACATTTGCGGCCGGAAAGGACGTATTTGCTGAATCTTGAATCCCAAAATAATGATATTACTGCAGATATCCTGACGAAATGACTGTTAAAACCCTTAAACAGAACATACTTCGTTGCCAACCTTCAAATTGTTTTCTCCTGCAAGAAACGTTTTGATCAATGTATGAAAGATTGGCCAACGCATTGGGCACATGAATGCTTGTATACCAGTTTACTTGCTGTTGTGGAGTTGAGTACGTCGGGTGTACCATGCGTCCACTTGTAAAACTTGCCAACTAATACTACTCAGACTGGCTAGCTAACAAAAGGAGAACTGAAATTTATCTTTAGTTCAATAATAGAACACCTAGTGAACTCAGTCCACTTAGGTGCTTTTGAGAGACCATTCAAAAACATCTGTTATTGTTAACAACTGAATATAACCATCAATTTTGTCTAGAAATACAATGAGTCGTAAAATAGCTGAGATAAAATGTTGAAAGTCATGTTAGTATATTTGTATTTCACGATTATTCCTGTATATAACTATGATGTAAATGCAGTATATTCTTCTGGTTAGGTTATACACAGGTGAATATCTCTACCACTAGTTGTTGAACTTATGAAGTAAGATACTACGAATTCTTCGTTTCCCTAAATAAATCAGTCAGACTGTTGAATGATTCCTCGAGGTTGACTCTACTTGCTTAAGGTTATCTTGATTAGTTTTACTCATTTCACTGAAATGGTTGTCATTCATCTACTTGTGATCAACCGTTTTTCCACCTATCTAGATGATATGGTATAACATACTGGCTAGTGCTTAGGAAAATGTTTCGCAAGCTTTGAGCTAACTCCAGCTGATATGCTCACCTCTAAAGAAGTGATTAAACTAATTTACATATATTGATGCTATCTAATAATCAAGCTTATGTTTCGTATATCGAAGAATTAGTATCTCCTGGAGTAATATCATTCTGATGTTGATAGCAAAAGCGTACACTTTAGAGTTCTCAACAGTTGCTTTCTAAAGATGTCACCTGTGAATTTGACGTTTACATATACGCCGATTTTTTTAACCTTATCTACATGTTTCAGTACATATCTGTTTTCTATCAGAACTTCTCGAGATATTTTTAACTCATCATTATTGATATCCTCCGTGGATATTTGTCTTCTCTTGAAGACAGTGGATTGGAAAGATTCATGTTCCTGCTTAAAGGGGATACAAGTTTTCAAATTAATTAACTGTCTATTTATTATTATTATTCGTGCATTAGGTTTCTAGGGCTTCAGTAGCACGTCTCCATTTCACTCTCTTCTCTCCAGTTCTTTTAACCTGGCTCCAAGACTGTCTAGCCAGAAGCTTTCACTTCTTCCGTATACCATCTCCTCCATGTCACTCTTGGACGCCCAACTCGTCGTTTCCTATGCGAGTTCTATTCAAGTTCCTGGTCTGGCCTGACGTTTGATGTTTGTCAGTGAAAAGAGTTACTCAAAGATGGTATTCGATAGAAGTGGTATTATATAGTAAATTTAACGAAGTAGGAAATGCGAACCACTGGATTCCAAGTCACTGGCTCAATTGTGACTTGCTAACCATGGAACCTGAAGACTGTGAGTTCGATTCCTAATAGGGTGAGGTTATGAATGCGGCTTGTTAAGGAGGCTCAGACTAGGATGAAACAGCTATCCATTTCTCGAACTAATATCAACACTCTGATGAATAGCGAATTGAAATCAATGAGTAAATCCTCCATAAACCTCTAAATTAGAAAGATCACCATCATCCGTCATTTCAGATACCCTTTCAGTCCAACCATCCTCATCATCATCATCATCATCATCATCATCATCATCATCATCATCATCATCATCATCATCATCATCATCATCATCATCATCATCATCATCATCGAATACAAAGATTAAAAACGTTTCTTTTCGACTCCATTTTTCATTATGTAATGCCTAAAACAATGAAAAATTATTTTAAATAATGATTACAAATGGTTGAGTAATCCTGTTTTTTTTTTCAAATATTGCGCTATTTCATCCATTTTTTCAAATCATATATTAATAGGTCATTAGAACATTTAAACACAGAGTGTTTATTCAATAATCTGAACAAATGTTTCCATTTATTTTTTTTCATACAAAAAAATAAATAACAATTTTGAAAAAAAAATATACACAAAATTCAAAGTGAAACAAAACGGGTTACACGTATAAAGGTTATAATTTTCAAAATTCAATATCTACCTTTATGTGTGATGTGAAACAAACTGATTTCATACTGTACATTGAACACATTAGTATTCTGTATGCATATGTGTGTTTGTGCTGTAGATGGTTTATACATAAAAAAAGGTATAAAACAGTGCAGTGATTTTAATGTGATCACATTACAAATCAATGCTTAATTTCACAATATAATTGCAGCATGAATATAAACAAGTATATACTACTGTATTCTTGTAAACTTTTATGACTAGTTTTGCTAGGTCAAAGGGATCATTCTCTGTTATCTTATGAATTGCTTGAACGAGAGTCTCAGTATCTCTTGAATTCAGCCAGCCAGCCAGCCAGCCAGCCAGCCAGCCAGCCAATCTGTAGATTTCACCAGCCAGATCTAAATTTCGAAGGGTTATTCCACTCATTTGGAGCCAAGCGCATTTGCGGTGCAAGTGCTCGAATGGAGACTCAAGTTAATCATGTGTACTCCGGACCCAAATAGTTTAATAGCAAAATGACACTGACAACAACACTGAATGACTCGGGTTCGACTCTCAGATAGAAAAACTCTTCGGCGTTGCTGAAAAGTATCGACAAACACGAAACCTTTGCATGAAGCTTTGGAGCATCTGTTTACATCCGAGTAGCACTAGTGTTAGTGCTTTACTTGGATCAGTAGTAAGAAATGTACCACCAAAAGTGTTTTACCTGATTATGAATCAGTAGAATCTATCTAATTTGCATACATAGTTATCGCTACTATTGTTCTGTATACATAGCCTAACCTCACAAGTTAACCTTATCCAACTTGTGGTTTCAGCTTTAAATTTAAAGTTCATTTACAGTCCACAAGCCACATTCAACTAAGTTATTTACAGATTTATTTCAATTCATATATTTTATACTTTTATTCACTTTACCACCACAAGAAATACTTTCACAATAATTACTTTCTACCCGTAATCAACATTCAGCAATCACTGAAACGTGATATAGTCAACCAAACTATTTCACAGAACATGGACTATGTTGTGTTGGCTGGATTGAACTTGTGTGATGACCTTGAAAGTAATTAAGTGTGACCGTATTTGTGTGGACAGAAGAAGATATACAGATAGATAGACAGACAGACAGGTGGGCGGACAGAGAGACAGATAGGCAGACAGGCAGGCAGACAATATCAACATAGGACCGTACATCATCGGGTAACGGTCCAATTTGTCACATCTCATATCAGCATATCAAGCGAGAAAGCATTAAGATGAAGGATAAAGAAATAAAGAAGAAAGACGTTGGAATTGGTAGAAATTTGTCAGTAGTATGATCGAGATATATATAATGTGTTTATGTTTGTGTGCCATCGTGATCAATTCTGATGCGTATCATATATAGTCTTCAACCATCGCTTTCTATTCCCATACTGATCTTAACCGACAAGCCTACATTGTTCTACATGGCATAAGCCAACAGTCAAAGTCTTCAGAGCTCAATGCTATGTTTTAGTTCGACCACATTAAACTGTTTTGTAGCCTGAATGTACCTCAGGTAACAATGTGCAATCGGACAGACAGTGACTAGTTATGCGTACAATATGTCCCAGCCATCTGAGTAGATGAAGTTTCACAACTTTATCAGCTCACTTCATTTATCTAATCGGGTGGTGAAAAATGCATCCATGTACAATCAGATGACGTGAAGGAGACTTGCTTAAGTACATCTCTGATAAAGTTGAATAAAAGTGAGGAGAGTGGACATTCTTGATAGACACCAATAGATGTAAACAACTCACCCGATAACTCACTATCGGCTCCAACACGCCTATGGGTGTTCAAATACACAGCCTTCAACTAGGGGGGGGGTGCACTTATCCGGCTCCCCTTTTCATTGGGACACACTACCATAAGAACTCTCGATCGATGAAGTTGAATACCACCTTCAAGGTTGGAAGTATAGTCAACTGCAGACGATGTTAAGTCAGTATCCTGGGACATAGCAGGGTGTGAATTTCTGTTCGATACGACTGTTCCTTAGTCTAAGACCTTTCTGTTTTTCACTATTTTCTTGTTCTCAGATTTAACGTGGAAGTCTAATAGTTATAGGAACTACAGTCTTGGAAACTATACTCATCAGACTGATTCTATTGTGGTTATCACAGGACGAGTCCTTGAAGGCCAGGACAATCAGTGTTTGAGATCAGTCAGAGGGAATCATATCTGACTCTTATTCACTAGGTAACACATCAGTTACCCTGACCAATAATCCGCAACCACCGTCCTCAAATACCTCCAGTGGTGGAACATCTAATCCTGTTTTATTATTATTGTTATTATTAGTCCCTTGGGTTCCTAGTGGAACATAGGGCTTCGGTAGCACGCCTCCAGTGACCTCTGTTCTCTGAGATCTTTTGAACCTGGTCCCACGACAGCCCACAACCTCTCATTTCCTCCTCGCATGACCTCCTCCATGTCACCCTCGGACGTCCAACTCGTCGCTTCCCATGGGGATTCCACTCGAGGGCCTGATGCGTGATGTCCTCAGTCGGCCTTCTCAGTGCATGGCCAATCCATCTCCACTTCTTCCTGCATGTTTGTTTCGTGATAGGTTCTTGGTTGGTTCGTTGCCAGATCTAATCCTGTTACCATCAGTCATTTTAATTCGCTTCCAGCTTTTTCAAATTCTCGTAGTGTTGCAATGGTTATCTTAATGTCCTGTTCGAGATCCGATTCAATAGTGGACAATAGACTAGTAACTGAAGGCCATTTTAACTGTTCGTCAGTGTTTCGCCCATGATCCTAGTCGTCTTTCTAGTAAGGGATCGAAGAACCAACCTTCTTCTCTATATATACATGACCACTAACCTTTTCTCCACAGTTTTCTTGATAATTGCAAATAGATGTTTTTCGTTACTTATCGTCGCTGTCCTTTCCATCTCTTTACCCCTTTTTTGCCAACTACTGCTTGCAGTTATTGGGTAGACTTCTTATCCAGTTAATTTGCGGGGTTTGTGGGGATTTAGAGATTTTTCAGCTTTGTATTCATCATGGACTGACGTAGTGGCCACGGAACCTGAAGGTCCTGGCTGCGATCGCTGGTGAGGTAGGTGGGGTCATGGACGCGCACTACTGATGAGCCCCAAACTAGAAAGAAACAGCTGTCCAGTGCTAGCAGGTTCCAAATGTGCCTCCAGATGATGTCAATCCATGATAAATACCAATAAAAAAACTTCTTAACAGCCAACACTTGAGTTTCTTCCTCTCCTGACTGTGCTGTCAGCTTCCAGGGATGTGTTCACCCGCGTCCATGATCTTTGAAGAGGTTGGTGGGATCCACTGACCATTTTTAACCTCTTTCCATAGGTCAGTTACATTCTTCAGCTCTAATTTTGTTAGAAGACTGAAGATGACACCAGGCTTATTCTGTGTGAGTGATATTATCGTGTTCAAATAATTGTCGACGAAACACATTTTCAGTTCTCCTCGGTTTTCACTGATGATTCTATAACAGAAGTTTATCTCCGATGAATACTACCTTTAAGCTGAATAACCAAAGATTCGGTGATTGAAAATCAAAAATAGGTACAGAGATAATTATTTCAAATTTATGAGCCCTGAACATTATGAAGTCGTGACTCCCACTGGAACCGAGAGTACATGACCCTCCTACCCACTAGTCTTACACTCTGTATTCATAAAAGTCTTAAAATATGAGCAACCGTGGTTATACTGTGTTCTCTGAGAAGCTGGATTGTTTAAGCGTGAAGCTTTCATCGTCTCGCTTCTACACAGTGACATCATCAACACCAACTTCAGTATGAAGTGACCTGTCAATATCTCTCCATGAGTGATTCAACAGCTTGCTCTGACCAACTGGTTTCTGATTGATTGCTTCCTTCGATTGTTGTGTCATTAACTGACTGCATAGATTTCCATGTTGGCTGCTCACCTGCCTCACCTCTGATCTTCCTGTCGCTTATCATTTTTCTCACCAGATGACAGATTGTGTCGTCTATGCCCATACATCTGCTGATTGCTGACTGATTGACTGACTGATCTGAATGCCAAGCTTATAGGAATTCTCTCATATTCTTTGTGTTTCCTCTACCCATCCAAAATGTCTACATTGTCCAAATTCAATTCATGTGCATAGTTGTTATCCACGTGCAGTGTGATGAGTGATGAAATGTCATGTGTGACGTTTAATAGCCAGTTGGTGTTCATGTAAATGACGAAGCTGAAGATGGGTGACCACTTTGTCAATGTAGTATTGACTACAGTTATTCCAGTTGATTTTGTAAATGATATTCAGCTTATCTTCTTTGGTTTTTGCATCCTTTGGTCTCCATAAGAGTGTTGTAGGGAATTTGTTAGTTTATGAGTGGCCACACCAATTCAAACAAGTGGTCTCAGTAATCTTGTCATGATTTCTGATACACCTTCTTTATGTGTGTTAGGATGATGCGTTTATTGATTTCTGTCGATCACTTTGTAATTGATGATGTACGGGAGAGGTATCTTGTGATAATAAAGTTTCGTGGGTAGCCGTTCTTCTTTATGGTGGACATCAAGTAATTTTCGTTGTTTCTCCGTGAAGTTGTTGTACTGTAATATGTTCTCGCTCGTCTAAATAGAGTCTGCACGCAAGTGATTTTGTGTGTTGTTGCTATTGTAATTGAAGATTTGGTCAGTGTGTGCTAGCTTCTTGTACACTTCGGTTTCCAGCTTCCTTGTATTTGTTCTATTGACCAGAACATCCAGGAATGATAGTTGGTTGCTTAACTCTTTCTTCATTGTGAATGTGATGTCATTGAAAACATTGTCGATCAAACTGTGGGTGTTCTCTCTTTTAATGATGACAAAAGTGTCGTCCACATAGAGAATCCAAATTTTTGGTTTAATCACAGGTAGGATGATGGCTTCCAGTGTCTCCATCACTGTTTCTGCAATTAGTCCGGATATCGGTGATCTAATCGGAGTTCATTTCATCTGTTGGTATGTCTTGCCATTGAATTGGAAGTACGTTGCCAGACATCATAAACATCATCAACCACAAAGTCAACGACAGAAATCAACAAACGTATC